AAACCGTTTTCAGTCATAGGAGTCACAGAAACGTGGCTTAATGATACATCTCCATCTACTTTATGTAATATTGACAATTATTCGATTGTACGTTCTGATAGAAAAACCGGAAGGGGTGGTGGAGCTGCTATGTTTATCTCAAACTTGTTAACATACAAAATTAGATCTGACCTTAGTTTGAAGAGTGATGGTACTGACTCGATATGCATTGAAATCAATATGGCTCAAAGGAAAAACATCTTGATATGTACAATATATAGGCCTCCGCATACAAATGTTGAATTATTTTTGGATGAGTTTGATAGGATGCTGCATAAGGTCAATCTAGAAAATAAGGATGTTTACTTGATGGGTGATTTTAATATTGATCTTTTGCAGGAAGATAATACTTTTCATAATATGTTACGATCAAATTCATTCAATGCCATGATTGATAAACCAACCAGATTGGCAAATAACTCTTCTACATTGATAGATAACATTTTTACAAATGTCACCAATAACTATAGGCTCTGGCCTCTTGTATAGTGAAATCTCTGACCACCTTCCAATTTTCCTGATTTGTAATCATGTTCGCAATTATCCTGAGGACGAAAAGAATCAAGCTATGATACGTAAAATCACAGCTGAAAAAATAGCCATGTTTAATGACGAACTACTCAAAGTAACATGGAATGACGTGGTCGCATGTACTGACACCAATAAGGCATATGCACTTTTTTGGAACTTGTTCTCCTCTCTTTTAAATAAACATATCCCAATGACTAAAAAAAGATCGGCAAGAAATAGAATCAAGCAGCCATGGATAACTAAAGGTATCTTTTGCTCTATTAAAAAACGGAATAGATTATATAAATATAATCTTCGACACCCAGGAGAGGAAAGCTTGAATAATTACAAATCATATAGGAACAAACTAACCACCATTATTAGACAGTCTCGACAAATGTATTTTGCCAAGCAGTTTGAAAATGCAAATGGAAATGCATCATCAACGTGGAATGTGATCAATCAAGCCCTCAAAAAACAAAAGAGTAAATCAAAGTGTCATATTACCAAAGATAATAATACAATGGTTGATTCAAAAGAAATAGCAAATTGCTTCAATGCTTACTTTGTTGGGGTTGGCCCCAATCAGGCCAATACAATAGCTTCGAACGGAGTCGACTTCTCACAATTTCTTCAAACTCCCTGCAACAAGTCATTATTTCTCAAACCAACAAACTTGATTGAAATCTTGAATATTGCACGTTCTCTTAAAATAAGCTATGCTAACGGTCATGATGGGATAAGCACATATCTTCTGAAACAAGTTATAGGAAATATAATAACCCCACTAGTGCATATTTTTAATCTCTCTCTGACGACAGGTACATTTCCAGAAGCATTTAAGATTGCTAAGGTTGTTCCGATATACAAAAAGGATGACTCTTCCCAAGTCTCAAACTATCGCCCTGTTTCTATTCTCTCGAGTTTGTCCAAAGTATTGGAAAGACTTATATACAATAGGCTATATTGTTTTCTAACAGAAAATGACTTACTGAATCAGGATCAATATGGTTTCAGGAAATACCACTCAACCGATTTAGCCCTTGCACAATTATATGATAAGATTTCGAATGCTTTGGCGTCTCGAAAGCATGTTATTGGTGTATTCATGGACTTAAGCAAAGCATTTGACACTCTTGATCACAAGGTACTATCAAGCAAACTTCATTATTACGGAGTAAGAGGAGTTGCTCTTGACTGGTTTAATGATTATTTGTCAGGTAGAAAGCAATATGTAAGCTACGAATCTGTAGATTCATCATTATTGCCTATGAAATGTGTTGTCCCACAAGGATCGATACTCGGTCCTTTATTGTTTCTACTGTATGTTAATGATATCTCGAACTCAACTACATCATTACAATATATTATATTTGCTGATGATACTAATGTGTTTTGCTCCAATTCCGATTTTCGATCACTTCAGAGAATTCTGAACACCGAGCTACCTAAGCTGTCTTTGTGGTTTAGGAGCAACAAATTGTCTCTGAATCTGAAAAAAACTAATTATATTCATTTTCAAAGCAGGAAAAATGCAACTGATAAACCTATACCTGAAATAGTCTTGGATGGTGAATATTTGGAGAAAAAACAAAATACTAAATTTCTTGGAACTATCATCAATGAAAATCTGAAATGGAGTGATCATGTACATTACGTTTCAAAGAGAGTGTCACGCACTGTTGGTTTACTGTATAAGTTAAAACATTATGTGCCTTTGAATATTCTATATATGCTATACAATTCCTTGATTCTTCCTTACATGTCTTATTGCAATATACTGTGGGCAGACTCAAAAGTATATACTGATAAAATGCTGCTTTTACAAAAGAAAGCGATTCGTGTGTGTACCAATGCTGGATATCGCGATCACACTGATCCCCTATTCGCGAGGTTAAAAACTCTGAAAGTAACTGATATTAACTTTTTACAAAAAGCACTGTTCATGTTCCGTCTACATAATGATTCCCTACCTTCCCACTTCCCACCAATGTTTTGTTTGAATAGAAATATTCATACATACCCAACCAGACAATCAAATAAATACCATTTATGTAATCCTAAAACAACAATGGCTATGAAATCTATAAGACATTCTGGTCCGGATATTTGGAACTCACTGTCCGTTGACATCCGTAACTTGAAGTCAGTATATACTTTCAAGAAAAGTGTGAAATCAATTTTATTGAGCAAATATTGACAAATCTCTTAAATTAACACATGATATCATATATGTTTGTCAGCATTTCCTTGATATAGCAGGAAAATCCCCCTCCCATGCACCCTCTATCCCATTTTTTTTTTTGGTTGCAAGTCACTGTTTATTTTTTGTTATTTTCCCCCAATTATGTTCTGTAATTTACTTTACTTTACAATCGTTATGATTTTAAATGTTTCTGGGCTGCAAGCGTATCAAGCTGTCACGCTTAGGCTGTAGCCCTTCTGTATCATCACCTCTTCGAGCGTATGTATCTATGATTTACTGAATGTGGAAATGTAATTTAACTTATGTTTTATACTCATGTAAAGACATTGTCACATTATTGTTATAACCTATGATGATTCAGTAACCAATAAATATTTCAACTATTACTAATCGCATTTCCACGACGTCACCAAGATTTGCATCTATCTCTAATGTTATGATCCAGAGCAAAATAACAGTGATTTTCTATTGAAATCTATTTATTCAGATGGTTTACACATTTCTCAGCCAATACATCTGGACATGCTGTTTCGGAAAATAAATTTCAAATTTGGAAACTCAAAAAATATTAGTTTGATGACGTCATTTCTGACCACTCTATCGGGGAATCCCCTTTAACCAAACTCCCGTAATACGGTTCTCATGTAAAATTATGTTAATTTGCACTTATCGTCTCACTCAGACATGGAGAAGTATTTTCAGTCGGAGACCATACTTAAGTGTAGACAAGTCTGAGAGTGAGCACGAAAAGGTGTAAATTATTATGGGGAGTATTTAACCCGTGGCGGATTTATGGCTGGGGGGGGGGGGGGCGACTGGCCCATGCCCATATCGAATATAAAACAACATTATCCCTCGATTGTGATTTTGTTTTTTATACTGTGCCCCTCCTCACCTTTCTCCTTTTGATGTTTCTGCTCTACCACTGAGCCATCACTCCTCCTTTTAATTAAAAAAAAAAATCTTTTTGCTTGCTGTTTTATACAAATACTTCCAGTGAAAATGTCAACTGTGATTAGAAAGACTGAGAAAACATTTATTTTGAAGACTGAAATCACTTCAATTCAATTCAAGACTTTATTCCAGACTCAGCTGCAAGAGTAAAGGTCCATATAACATATTTACATTTAGATATAAACAATGCACAATAATAAGAGGGGAACATATTATTTAAACTTACATATTTACATGTAGATATAAACAATGAACAAAAATAAGAGGGGAACACATACAGATACAGAAACAAAACTAAATTACTTTAATCAACCTCAACCGATTGTGACAACAAGCTACTGAACCAGAACTTCCACAAGTCTGAGGTGGTGAGCCTTGTACTATTTGACAGCATCATTAAGTACAAGTTCAAGGCCTACACACACACATCAAAACATATTTAATCTTGATTCTACTTGTGTTATGCGCTACAATTATTCAGTAGACGAACAGCCAGCAAGACCGACAATGATCTTCCTGAATATTTTATCTGAAGCTTTCCGAGACCGAGAGTTTGCGAGACCGACAATGCTTCTCCTGATGTTTCATTCACCCCAGGCTTCACAAGACAACAACACATGAGGCCACGAGACCGTCAGTCGTCGGTCTCGTTGGGTGTCTGTTTACTGGGATGCCTGGGTTTATGGGCCTACACAGTCTCAATATTCTACAAAAAAGAATAAACATACAATCGTATGAAGCATTTATTTACATCATAATGAGCAATAAAGACAACGCGTTCTGAAACATACTACTCTAAACAGAATCTATAAAATGATGATGAATAAAACTTATACAATTATAAAATCACACACTATAATCGTAGTATATTCAGATAATATTTCCGAAATCTTCATTGTTCAATAATGATCATTATCATTGATGTTATTTTCATTATCATTACTACTACTAGTATTATTATCACTATCATTAGTATTATTATTATTATCATCATCATCATCATCATCAGGGAGCCCTCTGTAAACCAGCATTGTTATGCTAACAACGCTGAGTAGGGCCATCCCTCCGTCTTCCCTTTTTGTATAAGTGTGTCTTAATGATTGTAAATATATATATGCTGATGTATTTTTAAATGACGGAAAATAAATACAAAACAATACAATCATCGTCGTCATCATCATCTTCATCAACATCATCAACATCATCATCAACATCATCATCATCATCATCATCACCATCATCATCTTTGCTGTTGTAGTCGTGATGATGCTCGTTATATTCGGACAACGAAATGTGTATTAACAAAAATAAATATTTAATGTGTATTCCTTATCAGTCATCACATTCTTCTTTCCGATTGACATAGGGGAAATTAGGACTACCAAATGTTATCCGAGATCACGTGTTAGTGAAAAGGCATTTTTAATTACGGATAAATATATATATACATGTACACCACAAATAAACATTGTTTTTTACATGTGTTTGCCACTTGATGTGCATGGGAAAAACTAACACCGACTATAAATATATAGAATTACGGACTGGTATTTTGTTTTGGTTGTTATTACCTTTATGGAAGCTGAATGGAAGAAACCTTTAAGTACCAGAAAGAGTTTCGTTGTAATTGATATTCCTTACAGAAAACAGATTATTTCCAGAATCCTTTATCAAAATGCAGCATAGAGCTTTAATGCATATTTAGTAATTGACATAATATTTCTCCGACATGATTCTGTTTGGTGTTTTTCCCCTCGTCGTAACCCCTTTTCTTATAAAGGATGGGGTGTCCCCGATCCCGTATGACCCGCCAATGAGCAAGGTACCAATTCAATGCAGAATTTATACATCAAGTTGCAAACATATTTAGTGTCGATAAGACTTCCGCAAACTTTTCCATGCTATAGCATTTTTAAATACACACGATTTGTATATTACATACAGCAAGTCAACATATTTAACTACATTGTGTGTTTAAAATGATGTTTGCCACTACCTCTGATCTCAAGTAGGCGATATTTTACATGAAATATTATAAACAATACCCACCAAAAGACTTCTAAATATGAGACTTTATACACTTGAGTTGAAGATGCCAATTGGCGTTGGTGCTTGGGATTAAATATATCATCACCATACTGTCCACGAGTGATCAATGGTGTGAGAAATTATAAAAAAAAGGTATATGTACAAGCTGATCTTACTTTAAAAGCTTATGAAGATCATGCATACTTTACTGTACATATATACAAAGACCCATTTAATGACATGGTAAATTGATAAACATCACTGAAATAAGTTAAATTTACTGATTTCCTAATATTGTAAGAGGAATACTCTCTTGGGTATTAAGTACATGACTTTGTAAAAGATCTGTAACAACAATGTCTGCCCATGCGAGGATTCCAGACACGTTTCCAGTTATTTTAAGAACTTCACATCCTCACCTTAAAAAAATAAAAATACATTCCTTACCAAAAAGAACATCACGTATAATACACTACAATATAAAGTGGAATTAGGCTATTTACACTGCATGGCTTATAAAGGTACCCAGCTATGTACATTTAATAACTATATAATAACTATATGACCTCATGGACAAAGTTATAGACAATTACAAGGGGGCAATAACATTAAGGATGGGGGAGGGAGGGGCACTTTAGGTAGGATCGCGATCGGAGCGACCAAGCGGGACAGGGTGTAAAAGGGGGGCTGGTCGAAGATAACATTATGACACAGCTCATAATGTCCTCACAAGTCCCACGCTGATGTAATGGGCCTCAATCTTCATCGAAGTTCACTGACGGATAAGGCGATAGAGAAACCTGTAAAATGCTCCTACAATTCTGCGACTGGAAAGTGCCCCTTCAAAGAAGAAATTGAACTCGGACTGTTGTGCAGCGGTCAGTCGAATCGGGCCACCCCCTGCAGCAAATTGACCAAGTGTTAGCATCAGTGACGTCATATTATTGAATGTGGACCTGTTGGTTTGGTTCCACGTTTCAAGTGCTTCTCGCGAAAGATCTTTGTAGTCGTGCACAATGACAGCTACTCTCTTCTTTCCTGTTTGATGATAGAGGTAGGAGAGAAGAAAGAAAAAAAATCCGTCTTGACTGTTGACAGGGTTATTATTGCCTCTTTTTTTGTTTAGATTGAAGGGCTACCCCCTCGGGAGGGGGAGGGGGTTGCAGTGTATGCCGGGGCCATTGAATCAATTACTTTCTTTTGTTTTGTTATATTGGGGGAAATCCAGATCATTTTGTCTTGTATAATTAATCTTACACTAATATATAATTTGTTCAAGTTTGCTTATTCATCTTCATTGAAGAAAGTACATATAACAATTAACATAGTAATAAAGAAGTTACATACATGTACAACCCAGGACCGAGATTTGAATGACATTGGATGCATCTCATGCAGGGTAAAACAATTACAATACACACTAACAAAACGAAAAAGAGAACATCATAACGTCAGTTTTTTTTAAAATGAAAACATTAATAATTCCTAACAAAACAACAACAAAAACACAATTTTTAAAAATTATTTTCTTAGTTAGAAATACCTCACTATACATTTATATACCGTTGTCATATCTATACATCTCTTCTTAATGAGTAATCAATCACGGGAACCTATCTCCACAGAGAGAGAAAGAGAGAGAGTTGCAGAGAGGGAGAGTTGCAGAGAGGGAGAGAGAGAGAGAGAGATGTGCAGAGAGCGAGAGAGAGAGAGAGGGAGAGAGAGCGAGAGAGAGAGGGAGGGAGAGAGATAGAGAGAGGGAGGGAGGTCCCGTTATAACAAGTTATATACCGTTATACGTCTCTTAAAGGGATCCGGTAACTTTGTCTCAGATTCTGAAATAAAATCCTGGATTTTGCTCATGATGCAATGATAATTATAAACCTTTAGGTCAGTCAGGAACCCCATGACTTTTACAAGCCGATCGCCGGTCTGATTATCAACATATTTACGATTGAAATTACAAATTTTGAAAAACGTTCGCCTGACGGTTTTCATAAACCTACAGTCTATTGGGGAAAACGAGTATGGTAAAACCGGTCACTCAAAGATTTTTTACTCTTTTGAGGCACTTCTTGATCATTTTGAAGCACAATTTTTTAGGGCTTCAATATTACACCATATCACAAACACTGATAACACGTAGGACCGTGTATCTCAGATTTAACATTGTTAAACGATCCCTTTAAAGTAATTACACCTCCAAGTGTTGTGGTGATTCCAAGTGAGTTCAGATAGGCTGTAAAAAATAACATAGACCCACACAATATTCTTTTGAAATATTACTGATCCCATCAGATTTTTTTCTTGGGGCGCTGCCTCTACGGATGAGCCAAATATCAATTGAATGAGGCCTTCGGTGCATGTCGGAATAAGAAGAAAATAAATAAATAAAAAAAAAACATTTTAAAGAAATAAAATGAGAAGTATAATAAACAATGAGGAGCTCAAGAAAATCTTACCCAAGCACCTCTTTGCCTTGTACAAGAACTTGTCATAGATGGAGTTGGATCCGTCAGGGTAGCGATAAGGTCCCCTGATATCCATAGAATGACACAGAAACAAGGCATCAACGCCACCTAATTCGAATTCCTTCATGTCTGCCATGTTGTAGGGAAGCGGCTCAAACTTCACACTCGCTGACTCTACGACGTCTGATATATTCCTGTTGATATATCCTATAAGGCCTTGCACGCTGTCTTCACCAGAATTACTGCACACGACAATGTTCACTCGATCCTTTGTTCAATGAAAAACAAGATGGAAAAATAAGAATTTTTAGACACTGCATTTTAAACGCGTTACACCCATTCTTTTCTTTTAGCATTTGTTGTTTAACTTCCTTATTTTTCATTTGTTTTTCTTAACCATAACAACCTGTTATGCAGTGTCAATTATATATGCATATGATGTCATTCAGGGGCAGCGGTGCGTCTTTCAAAATGGGGGGAGGGGTACCAACAAAGAGGTCACTTTCTGGAAAAAGGGGCACCTACAAAGGAAAGCCTCAAAGCGAAAATATACGGTTTTTAGACATTGGTATATGCCCCTACATTGTGATTACTTTATCAGGGATGTTTTCAATGTTTGTTTCTCTCTTTCCATGGTCCAAGTTACTACTTTGCAGTTGGGTGTGATGGTCTGAATGCTTATTTGAAGGGGAGTTATCAGAGGTTAAAATAGGGCACTTTTCGCACCTGAAAGGAGCACTGAACAAAGATGAAGAAAGGCACTCATGAGAACGCAAAAGGGGCACTTATTACAAGGATAAAGGGGCAATTATCAGAAAAGAAATGGCACTAATTAGAAAAGATAAGGGGGTACGTGTCAAGTTTAAAGGGGGCACCTCCCAAATTTGAGTAAAGGCACTCATCGGGGATGAAAATGGGTACTTGTAAGAACGAACAGAGGTAATTATAAGAGGTGAAGGGGCACTTATTACAAAGGAAGATGGGTACTTATCGAAGGAAAAAGGGCACCTACGAAATTTTAATAGAGGTATCTATCAGACGTGTCAGAGTTAAGGGACATTTCTGAGAAGGTGAAATGGATGTTATTAAAAAAGAAAAGGGGCATTTATCGGATGAAAAAGGGCACTTATTAGGAAGATAAAGGGGGCATGTGTAAAAATAAAAGGGGGCACTGATCAGAGGTGAGAAGTGGCACTCATCAAATATGGAAAGGGGCACTAATCAGAAAGAGGAAGGGGCACTTATTACAAATGAAAAGGGCACTTGTTAAAGTTAAATGGGCACCTCTCAGATTGGAATAGAGGCTCCTACCCTAATATCGTTCAATAGGTCCTAAGGAAGCCCTATACCAAAAATGGTTCTAGGACAATTACCCCCGGAAAATTACCCCCGGAAGATCACCCTAGGACAATAACCCCCCGTGAACAATTACCCCCCTGAAATTTATTCCCTTGGTCAATCACCCCCTCTCAAGGACAATTGCCCCCCCCCCCGAAATCTGCTTTTATTAAAACCAACTTATTTTCAGGGTGGACTTCCCCTTTAATGAACGGGGGTAATTTTCGGGGAAGGGTGTATTTGTCCTCGGGGTTGGTTATCCTTGGTTGTCCTTGGGGCATAATATTGTCCCATATAATTTTATATAGGGGGTAATTTTAAGCGGGATAATTGTCCTCGGGGGGGGGGGGGGTGGGTAATCGTTCATGGGGGTAATCGTTCATGGGGGTAATTGTCCTAGCAGGTAATTTTCCGGGGGTGATTGTCCAGGGGTTAATTGTCCTGATACGAAGTTATATGCATGCATTTTATTGTGCTCGCAACCAATCAAATGCAATGATCATGATCACTGTTAGTTGTTGTTATTGTCTTTTATATATAATACAAGTACTATCAGAGGCGTAATTATCCTTTTGGTTTTCCTGGTTGCAAGACTATCTTGTTCAGGGTTTGGAAGCAACCGTATATCGTCCAGGTTTATCTGCATGCTTCCATGTGCACTTTCGGATTACCGTAATCAATAGGCTTTGAAAAGTAATAGCAGGTACAATAGCCAATATGTAAAAATGGTATCCTTATCCTGTACAGTGTATCTAGATATAGTTGTAACATTAAAGGTAAAGACCAGTATTGGAAACGCCCCAATTTCAAAAAATGAAATGGAAGCTCTCATTACTAATCATGTGAAAGAATATGTTTTGACTAATAAAAAATTTGCTGATAAAAAATTTGCCGGGAAACCGCCTACTAATTCATATATTTAGTAAATTTGTTTCTCACATGGTCTGTGAGAGATATAGAGTAGTCCCATATACATCTTTCGGTGTATAGTGCTTGTAGCTTTAAGAAGAATGGGCCAAATTTCTTATCATTTTGATGATTCCAGAACCTTGCAGATGCTAGATGCTAGATGATCAACCTTTTATGATCGATTCCACAACGTTTCTTTCACAATGCAATCGCATGACCATAACTGGTCTTTACCTTTAACATATCAAAAGAGGACCTGGATATTAAATAAATGTTGACGATACTGTACTATATGTCGTCAATAGTTAGCACACAATTATTAGGCCTATATTTGTCCTGTATAGCTATATTGGGCGTACAGCATACTTAGCTTTCTAGATCCGACTCTCCTTGTAGCACTTTAAATGCACGTTGCCGCGTGTGTGTTTGTTTGTGTATGAACATGTGTCTTCTGTTTGTTGTGATGAAATATTATTATTATGGATAATTTCTTAGCTGTATCAGATGTACACAATCATGACTGATCTTTGTCAATGTTTTCCAGAAAACATGTCCAGCGGCGTATCCAAACCTTGGCCTCAGGAGGGGCAACACATTTCCAACTCTGATCCATATACCTTCGGTAAGGAAGGTCCTAGTTTGCGTTACCGGGGGAGGAGGGGGGGGGGGGGGCATCATCCCAAATGACTTAACTGAGGAAGAATGAGTCTATTGACCAATGTCATGCCTACACTCCATGCATTTCTTCGCTTACAGTGATACCTGTGGCTGTTTATGCTACCAGGCAATTTCCTGGTTGGGAACCCTTTCCCCTTCATTATATATGCTAATGAACATCTCCAAATACTGCTGATCCCGGAAATGAGTGTCCTATATCAGAATTGAAATGAAAGTGAATAATTCTTAGTTTTATTATCTTATCTGAAGAGATATCTGTCATGAGGAAGTCTGTCGACAGAAGAGAAGGAACTATAGGTTCTAATTGCTAATATTTCTTTTTTTCTAAGTAATCAGGGACATTTCTGCTGATATCATCAATCATGATACCCAGTTCTGATTGTATATAGCTATTTTGAAATATGTGAACGTACATTGTTTTAATGGAAATGATTGATGGCTGAATGAATGGATAAATATGAAAATAAATTACGTGTAACCTTTTAAATTGAAACGAATCAAATTGATTAAACAAGATCAGTGAATGGTGTGGGGTAGATAGAAGAAACGGGAGTCATGAATATGAAGGCTGAATATTTTGTTTGCTATTCATGTGTTCTCTGTGTATGCATGAGTCTTTGAATTGTGTCATATTATATAGTTTCTGTGGTGTTTGTGATATAATTGTAAAATAATTAATGTTCTATTGGAGCTGCTTTCCTCAGTCAGAGTATAGGCATTTAAGAAAAAAAAATACAAAAGGAATACTAGCATTTGAGCTGCTGTCTTGTTAGATATGAAATAGATGAAATTTGAAAATACTCTGACAAAAGTTTGTCAAATACTTCGCATCAAGCTATGGCGTCACACATTCTTAATATCAGCTCCCAAATATTACTCTTTATAATATTCATGTAAATGAATTAAGATACTTAAAACTGTGAAAAGCAAATCTTTATTTAGGACTAAACTTGTTTATCAGATTTGCTTATTTTTGTCATGTACATGTAAATGCTTCTTTTGCCATGTACATGCTACAGTATATGTTTATGCAAAAGTAGTAAATTTTTAAAACAGCATTGCCTAACAAAAATGTAGAATGAAAAGTCTTACCAATAATTGATAATAATGGTGTCATTTTACTTTACCCAATAAAACAAAAGTGATGTATTGTGTAAGATGATGAAGTCGAGAGCTTAAATTGTTTGCCCTAACATCAGCTATATATCTATCAAATTTGCAAAACTAAAAATGAAGAGTAGCTTTGATTTACTAGTAGGGCAATGTTTTTGCAGGAGCATTTGGTTATGCAGATGACTTGACACTGCTGTCACCTAGCGTGACTGCTCTTCAAGAAATGATTAAAACTTGTTTAGATTATGCCATTAAATTTGATATTTTGTTTAACCCTGAAAAGAGTCAGTTAATAGTTTTCAGCTGTAATGGTAAACCAGTTATGGATCCAGGAATCACGATAAATGGAAGACATATTGATATTGCATCAAAAGTAACTCATCTAGGGAATGATATTTCTAAGAATATAAATGATTTTGATATCTCAAAGTGTGTTGGAGATTTCAATCGACAATGTAATATGTTTTTGTTTAATTTCAAATATGCTAACTCTCACATAAGAAATATATTGTTTCATAAATATTGTTCGAGTTTCTATGGCTCACAGTTATATCCTCTGTTTGATAAATGTTTTGATAATATTTGTAGACAATGGCGGGTTGCAATAAGAAGGGTTTGGAAAATTCCATGGCAGACACACTGTCATCTTTTGCCTTATTTAGCAGGTGTTATGGATCCAGAGTTATGGTTTGCAAAAAGATGTTTATCTTTTGTTTTGAAAGCTATGAATTCCAAAAATTATACAGTGGCACATATAGCTGGAATGGCCAGGTATGGAGCTCATTCTGTGTTGGGAGGTAACATAAGATTCTTGAATGATAAGTACTTCATGGATAACAATGAAATTCAAAAGCAGTGGGCTGTGCAATGCCAAGTGAATGATGAGACAATACGCATAGTTGAACAAGTAAAGGAATTGATCAACTCGAGGGATGATTATTTATGTAAGGGTTTCCTTAACCGAGAGGAGTGCGAGGAAATTATCTTGTATTTATGCACACTCTGATCTTACCCTGTTATACATGTATTCTGTTGTTGATGATGTTTTTTGTCTTTACATATATTGTGAATGTGCCTATTTGTAGAATATATTGTATATTTTTTGTTATTTTTTTATATGTGCTTTTTAAAGCGAATAAAGAACTCTTGAATTGAATTGAAAGTAGTATGTTCTGTCGAGAATATGTAAATATAATAAAGTATGAATGGAAGACAGTATTTTTGAGAGACAGAATATCAACACCCATGTAGCCCGATAGTGACAGCTTAATTAATTACAATTTGCATAAATTTGGATAGCAAACAACAAAAACAGTTTTATTTGTTAGTTCTTTTAAGTAGAATTGTGCGTTTTATGAG